AACTCCCGCAGCCCAGCACCAAAGGTTGGCATGGTGATCCAGAAGGCGAGGAAGGCCACAGTGGAGGGCAGCGGAAAGATGTCCTTTGTATCCGGCTCCAGCGTGAGAATCATCGTTGGCAGCACCGTCAAGAGGGAGGCGCGGACGGTCCAATCCAACTTTTCCCAGAAAAGGGGTGCGGAAAAGATGCTACAGGTTTTGGTGCCAAACCCACTCATTGGAATATACGCCCGCTGGTCCCACGGGATGGCATGCAGGGCGGGGCTGGTCGCCTCCTTAAAGTGCCGTTCCTCACGTTCATCCTCATCGCCCCGAAGAATTTTTTCGTTTTTGTCACTATCTCCACCACCTCCTCCACCACCACCGCCTCCACCACCACCGCCTCCACCACCACCACCACCTCCACCACCACCACCACCACCACCACCACCACCACCACCTCCACTGCCCCCACCACCTCCACCAACTCCATGAAGAGGCTGCGACAGCCCTTTTTTCGACCCAGAGGAGTCCGAGACAGGACGCGGCGGGGCAACATCAGTGATGATTAGCTTTGGATCCCGCGGTTTGTCGTTCCTAGAACCTAAAAAGAGCGACATGAACATGTCCTCCGCGTGGTTCCCTACCTTTGGCAACTTCGCACTCTTGGATCCAACCAAGGTCGAGTCAACGGCATTTCTGTTCATTTCGAACGGCCCACCGGAGGTATTGGATTGGGCGGGCCTTGAGCCTTGGAAGAAACCTTGGGGGATAGTTTTTCTTGCCCGCACGTGCACGTGGCGCCCGGAAAATTGTTCTGACATCGCTGGAACCCTGGTTGGGGAAAGCACGGAGGAGTGCCGCATGGGCGATTCGAGACCAAACTCAGTCCCACGGGTTTCGTTCGAGTGACTTGAGAGCGAGAGTGAATTCGGGGCGTCGTGGCGCGACCCCTGCCCAAGCGTGGTTGCCTGACCCAAAGCATTGATATCAGCGACACGCAGCCGACCTGGTTGCGACCTCACCTGCCAGGAAGTCCGGGCTGAATCGGATAAAAAAAATGGATCCCAACGTCTCTCCGAAATACCCAACGCATCATCGCGATGCAGGCGCTCTGCTGCAGAGAGCCAAGAGGGTCTATTTGCTTGCGCTGCAAAGCCCCCTCTGGTATTCGACCAAACAGGACCAGACGCTTTGGGCGAGCCAGAACAGGCGGAAACGTGTGGCAAGGTACCAATAGAGGAAACCGTCAAACGCCCACTAGGTGTTGTAGAGCGTGACCCAATGGGCCCGTGCCTTGGACGTTCCACAACGGGGTTATGCTCCAAAGTTAGCATATCACCTACCGACCGCGTGCGCCTCGGGCCATATCCTTCAATAACAGATTTTGTCTTAATCATATTTCCTCCCACGACTTGAGTGCGTGACGACAACTTCGGCTTTGCCCTTGCCTTTGCATTGACATTTGTGGAGAGACTACTTTCCGCTGGGAGTGCATTGCCGTGTAGAAAGCTATGAGGTGGGGAAGAGACCTCGGACCTATGATGGCCAAGGGGCGAAGCATTAGCAGCAGAAGGAGCAGGAGCAGACAATGGCCCCATTGCAGGCGGAGACGCCGCAGTTGCAGCTACCTTCTGATTTGGAGTCGTATTTGCAACAGGCTGGGCCGATACGGTGTGAGCTGCCGATGGTGATGCCTGCGCTGAGGCCGTGGATTGCGGTTCCGCCTGAAATGACGATGCGGCAAACCGCATGCCCTCCATCGTCTCTCCCTCGGGTACATCCACCATTTTCCCGGAATGAAAACTTGGATTCCCGGTGCTGCTATCTGGTCCGCGAATGTTCTCACTTCCCGGCGCCATCGTGCTCGCGAGAGAGTTGGCGAGCCCGGGTCCAGGAGCCCCAAAGTTGTTGCAGAGCAGGAATTGCTCCACCGCAGCAGAACCTGCGGCGTTTCTGTGCGGTAGCCCAGATGACGCCATCCTCAATGAGTCGGTTAAGTGCCCAGTCCCAGGCTTGTCGCTAAGGACCGCTGGTAGGGCAGGGATCATCTCAAGCTCCTTTTCTGAGACGGACTTCTCAGACATGTCCCTCCGTGGTGCACGCTGTATCTATTTCCCTCCCTCCCCCCCACCCTGTGAGATGTCCTCACCCGCGCCGTTGGCCCCTTCTAATAGACGTATAACTATACAGATAGGTATAATATAGGTATAGTTTTGGCACCTTCCTGCTCTGCTTACACTCTCAGTGGTATGGAGAATTCCCTGATAGTCCTGTTTTGTTTTTGTCGTTGTTGTTGTTTTGATATATGCGTGTGGTCTACTTGCTTTTGTGGCTGCTGCGTGGGTACTACTCACTGGCCGCAATGACGGCTAGGTTCACCTTGCCACGGAGCAACGCAACCCTCCAGTACGGCCACACCAGCACCGGCGTCAAGACCTGTTCCCTGCACAGCTGCAGAGGCGGTGCAGTGAAACAGATGCCTAGATGTATTTATATACAGCTTCCTTGTCTGCTGCGCTGCAGCAGCCTTCTCTTTTTTGATGGCGCGTACTACTCCTTTAGGAGCGATGCCCTCGTGTCTTGTGTTCCCTTTCCCCCCCTCCCCAACCTGAAGACTGAGGTGTGTATTCCTGTCTTGTTCCTATTCTTCCAAAGCTGGCGTCGTTTTGAATTTAGGCAAGAAGCAACAACAAGAAAAAAAAAAAGACCTGTGCAACCAGAGGAGAAGAGGAGAAAACAAAGCCGCATGAGGCGCCGCAGTGGCCCGCCCTATCAGGGACATGGCGTCACACAAATAGCAGGTGGGAGGATAATGAAAGAATATTCAGACAGCCATACATAAAGAAAGAAAGGGACAGCCGCAGTGCAATACAAGGTTAAAGAAGGAAGCCAAAATCTTTTGCGGGGTAACACCGACGACTAGCAGTAGCAGCAGCTGTTAGTCCACCGCAAGGACTCCTTCCCGTCCTGTCCCGTCCCCCCCGCCACAGATCCAGGTCTCGCCACGAATAAAACAACCACTTCTAGGTGGATGCACGGCTGTCCAGTGGCGAGGTATTCACCATAAAACTCTGCTGTTGGTGCAGCGCAGCCATTGCCAATGTCGTGTTTCCCGTGCGCCACCGGTACGTAAAGTACAAGTTAAACCTCGCAGCCCGCTGCAGTGCCACGGTGCAGTATTCAGGAACGCTGAATTCGTAGGCCACCTGTTCGTAGAGCGGCACAGCTAGGTGATGCAGGCCAAGGTACTGTAATGCCCTGGCGCAGTTGTACACGGCCTCGCCTGCGCGCCCTGCATCAGCGGCGCGCAGCAGCTCCTGGTACCGTGAAAGGTAATGCCATCCAGCGACCACGCAGGCCTCGCGGGCCCGAATCTTTTTTTGGTGGCTAATGAACAGGTAGGATAAACCAACCAGAAAACAGACAAGGACGTCACTAGAATTCCTCTGCGCGGCCGCAAGGTACAAGTTAAGAGCACGGACGTAGGAGCGGCGAAGAAAATACCGGTTACCAAGTAGAACAAGCATCTGTGTGTCAGCCTTATTACGATCCGCAACAAGACGAAGCAGAACAGCGCTGCCGTCCTCCACGCGATTCAGCACACCAAAAAGAAGTTCCACCACCTGATTCTTTTCCGCCTCGCTGCAATGCTCCTGCAGCAGACGAACTCCCACACGGTAGGCATCTTCACTCTCCTTTGAGGCCAGTGCCGCGCGCAGCACAGCCAACCGCAGCGGTCGCTCCAAAACCCCGGCGTGGAGAAAGACGCTCGTTCGCGGGCATCGCATCAGTACAAGAAATGCAAACTCCTTCGCCTCGGTAAACTTTCCAATGGCACTGTAGCAGTTGATCACGGTGACGGCAAGCTCTACGAAGCCGACCCGCCCGAGTACCCCCAAAGCGTCGCGGACCGTGACGCGCAGTGTGGAGGCGGCGAAGGGGCCGGCACCTAAGCCACCAGCACTCATCGGAGACGGGGCAACAGATTTTGGCTCCCATAGATTACGTGGTGCGATCGTCGCCTCATTGCTAGAGGCCTTCATAAATAACTCTTGCATTGCGGGATCATCAAACTGTCTGCTTACCTCCTCCAACGAGGGTAGTTCGTACTGCGTCGTCGTGTCACCGTCCTCGTTGCTATACAACATCGCCGTTTCCTCCAACTCCGCCAAGTCCCCTTCGTCCTGCACCTCTTCCTTTAGTTGCCCACAGTCCGCACGCGGCGGCTTCTCCACCGCCCGCCTGCCGCTGAGACGCACGTTGTCGTTATTACCGTTCTCACTATCTGCCTTTGCGTCGCCGGCCTCATTATTAACCTGCATACCTTTCCAGAAGGAGTCTGGACCGCGGCGCGTCACTTCCTCCACGCGCTGACGCTTCTTTTCCTGTCGCATTTGCGCCTCCTCCTCCTCAGCATCACCGTCCAGGTCTTGTTTGATATCCTGCTTCACTCCCTCAGCGCCGTCACTGTTGTGTATATATTCCCTTCGGTTCACCAGATGAGCCCGCCTCAGCCGTTTCTTCGTGCGATTGAAACGGAAGATTGTCGAACTGTCCTTCAGCCGCTCCTCTTCGTCGGCACACACCCAGCCGGCAGCCGCCGACGCCGCCGCGGAGGCGCCGTACACGGAATTCGTCAGTGGTGCATACCCGCGTCTGGCCAGGTTGGCGCGAAAGACGGCGCTGGCCGCCTTGATGGACGTCGCAAGGGTGTGTGAGAGCCGCCCCACTGACGACGCCGCACTGCCCAAGCGTGGCCCATGCACGATGTCGGCAATGGCAGAGGGTGGAACAATGGCGGAACTGGCCCGCGAAAGCGTCGGCACCAAGAGTGCGGCGGTGCTGCGTCGCGAGGTCCCCGGCGCAACGGAGTCCGCGTCGCCGCCCTCCTCGCCGGAGAAGATGAGTTCAAATACGGAAACCCCCAGCGCAATCGCTTCAACGTATTTTTCCGCACGCGCAAAAACGCGCACAAGCTCCGCACCGAGTTGAATCCGTTCAAGCGGTTGCTCGTCCTCACGAGGCGTGAGAACCGCCACGGCCTGGTCGGTATCTTTCATGTCATACATATACATGCGACCCAGCGCAAGACGAACCTGCAGATGGGTTGGGTCGACCTCCAACACGCGACGAAAGACGCTGTAGGCCACCTCAGAGTTCCCTAGCGAGGCCTCACACTGCCCCTCTGCAAACAAACTTGCCACAAAGACCGTTTTCACTTCAGTGAGCTCCTCATTATCCACCCCTTCCTTTGCCTCCTCAATCCTGATATTACTATTTCTACTACCACTATCCGCAGCAGTAGCGCTACCGGTGAGGTTTGAGAGGCAAAACTCATGATAGCGGCGCAGAGTCTGAAAAAGCATGTGCGCCTCCGCGTGCAAACCCACTTGTTGCAACGCATTGGCGGCGTCGTACAAGACATCGCCGTATTCGGTCATGGGGCAGGTATCAATAAGGTGCTGAAACACCTCCCGACACTGCTGCTCCAAGCCCCCCAGGAATGCGTAGGCAACTCCAAGGCGAACAAGCAGTTCCGGAGGCAATTCTAGCAACGGAACCTGCAGGCAACCGGCGGTAAACTCTACAAGGCGTATGGTATCCAGAAACTTTCCCTCCTCATTAAGCAGCTCTGCGTGCACATTAACGAGCGTAAGAAAATTCCTCTTTGCAGCCGGGGTGCGAAGCTCAATAGTGTCTCCATAGAGTGAGCTGACCACCTTTGACGGCGTCGCATCCACCGTCTTGGTCACGCCGCTTCCGCCGCTGCCGGCAAGGTTTGAAAAGTCAAACTCATCTTCCTCGCCCTCCTCCACTCCCAGTGGGGCGGGTAGTGATGGTATAGCGACCGCACGAGAAGCATAATCCGCCTCTACAGTCGGCCGCCGCTCTTGTTCCTCCTGCTGCCGTTGCGCCTCCCACTCCACATCCTCCGCCTCGTCCACTGTCTTCGCCTTTGCCACCACTGCGACGGCGGTATTCCCATCGTCATCCGCGCCCTCGTTGTTTTCATCATCGCCAAAAAAGCGAACCCGTTTTGAAGTCCTTCGTTTGGCCTGCGAAGGCAGCGGAGGAGGGGCCTCGCCATCGCCGTCTGCAGACGTGTGTGCCACGTTGGTGGTGCCGTCATTAGCGTCGTTTCTCCTCTGCTCCGTGTCCGCCGCCGTATTAGTGCGAAAAGTGTTTTTGAGGCTAGATTCAATTAACCGATGCAGAGAGTTCCACCGCCCTAATTGAAAGAACAGGGAAGACAGCAATGCAAACACCTCAAAATCGCGACACCGGCTGCCGTTCCATAACGAAACCAAAATATTCGCGGCCCGCTTAAACTCCCCCAAGCCAATGTACAAATCAGCCAACTGCAACTGCAGGGTGCGGTAGCGCGTCTTGTCCTTCATCTCTAACGCTGAAAGCCGTTGTAGGCACACGGCCGATTTATAGTACAACTCCTCCTGCAGGAATTCATGTAACAGCTCCTCCCACAGCACGGTGTCGTTGGCCAAAAACGCCTGCAACAGTCGAAAATCGCTGGCGCGATCCCGCTGGCCTTTGGAGTCGGCGATGACGGCAAGAAGGGCGAAGAGATGATCCGTGGGATGGATACGCAGTGCCAGGGTCGCCTCGCGTTCCGCGCCGTCCTTGTCATTCTGAAGAAAAAGGTTTTGTGCCTTCGCCACGTGTCTTTCAAAGCGTTCGTGAAGCTCGACACTACTGAAGGCAGACATCCGTGCATGTCGACGTCGCTTCGGCTCCGTCTGCCTCTCTACCACGCCGAGAGAAGCATCATCCTGGGCGGAGGTCATCCTGCCTCTCCAAACGTACCAACCAAAAGTGATAAGGGTCACGAAAAGAAGGTATCAGTGGCTTGTATCCACCATAAAAAAAAAAACTCCCTTGTTGCTACTGCTTCCCCTCGCGTGTGCCCTTCCTTAATTCCACTTAGTTTCCCCTGTGCAGCTTTGAGAGTCCCGCGGCGCCGTTGTGTCCCGCGCTCGCCCGCCGGCTGAATGCTGCAATGCCTACTACTTTTGCGCTGTCAGCCCCCCAGTGTCACTGCCTCCGCCGTGCACGAAAACGAACCAAACGAGAAAACAGACCTTTCTTTTGTTGTTGTTGTTGTTGTTTTTCCGCTACGGCGATACAACTATCTCCGTACACGCTCTGTTGGTGGCTTCTTGTGGTGGTGATTGTGGTGGTTGCATATGTGAGAGAAGGATAAAATAAACGGGGGAACAGAAAAAAAAAGGAGATCACAACATGGAAAAACTCTCGAATGCGTAAGATGCAGTGCAGTAATAATAAATAATAATAAACACGCACGTGACGGACGAATCATCACCACGGCGGAAATGGGAATCTGCTATGGTATTTCCCATCACATTCGGGTGGTGCTTTCTTACAAGAGGATCCGGCTTACGTATGTAGATACAGGCATGAGTGGATATATAGATAGATGGCGGTGAGGGGACTTGGGATTCAAATTTATTAATTTACTCCTCATCTCATCCTTTTGTTTGTTTGCTTGTTTTTGTCGCTGAGCCCTTCACTTTAGGTCTCCTCCTCTTCACCCCACCCCACACACACACATGCATACGCAGAGAGACGTTTCCGCCCTCAACGCTGCATCCTCCTGTTTGCTTGCGTTGGTTGCTGTCGCTGGTTTTTCTATTCCTGTTCTGCTGCCTCCTCGTGGGTATCATTACCTTCTTATTTTGACTGCAGAAGCAGATGAATACGCGTGCATGTGGAGGGAGTGGGTTTGAGTTTCCATTGCAGCCAACGTGCGTCGTATGCACCGCTTTCCGCTCTCTTATGACGCAAAAGATAAAGAATAAGAGAGAGCGCAGCCAGGACGCGCAAAAAAAAAAAACAACAACAACAACAACACACACAAAAAAAAAAGGGCGTCAGGGCCTCCGCAGCGAGAAGGTAAATTGGCGGAGAAGATATATTATATTATATATAAAAAAAAACAGGGCACGCAAACGCACAATAATCACGGCCCCTCCCCCTCACATACACAGACGCACCTTCTCTTTCCTCGTTCTCTACTGCGTCTACACCACCGCCGGTCCCTCGCCGCCCTCACCCATCTCACACAGTTACGCACACGCAAACGTCCCCCACCGACGTTGCAACAGAAGCTTCTCTCCCTTCACGCCTTCGCGCCGCCCAGCTTGCCGTAGAAGTGCAGCAGAATGACGCTGAGAACGAAGAGCGCCGTCCCAATAATTACATTTAGGGGCTGGATCTCGAACCCTGTCGGATCCAAGTCGTTCACACCGGGGTGCGGTGCCATCTTCTTCTGCATAGCTTTCATGACTACTTGCCTTATTGTTTTGTTTTGCTTCGCTGGTTATCTTGTTGTGTACCACCAGGCAGGCCACCACTTCCCCGCGGCACGCGCCAAGAAGAAAAGAAGAAGAAAAAAACGACAATATAGTGGGGTGAGGCAAACAGAAACGAAGAAAAAAAAAGGGGGCGCAAGCCAAAAAAGATAGCGGAATAAAAATTAAAAAAATACAATATATATATATATATGGAAGGAATATTTCAGTGCGTCACTGGCAAAAAAAAAAGGAAGCGAGGTGCCCCCTCCACGTACATGCACGCACAATACACTCAGAGAAAAGGTACAGCAGGCTCCAATATACAAGGCCCAAAGGGTCACAAGAGAGAGAAAAAAAAAAGGAACAAAAGACAAAGGGAACAAAAAAAACAAAAAACACGTTTTGTGCACTAACTCAAGCAGCTGCAAGTGAAGGGGCTATAGACTGCACCTTTTGCTTCAGATAAAAATGGATTTACTCTGGCAGAAAGGTAAGCTTTGTCCCCTCTCCTAGCAGCAGTCTCGCTGAGACTAGTTCAGCAAGCTGCTTCTCCTTATCGAGAATAATACGCAAGAGCTCTTTGCACAGCTCTGATTCCCGCCCTGCAAGCTGCTCGAACATGTCCGGTGAAGGGGGATGAAGCATAAGCGCAGCCTCTGAAAACGCCCTGGAGGAGGAGGGGCCACAGGATGCGGCATCATTCGCCAATACGTCCACTCTTTGTACGCCTACGGTGGAAAGTGTCGTGTTTCGAGTTTTACAGCTTGAGAGTCTTCCATCCAGCTCCATGTACTCCGTTTCACGCTGCATCCCCCCATCACACTCCTCGTTACTCCCCACCACGGCTCGTTTTGCAGAGCCGTGGTGGTCCATGCTGCGCAGCAAAAACGAATGGGCCTCCTCAGGGTCCAAGTCGGGAACCGCGGAAAAAGCAACCGATGGGTCACTGACATTAATGGTTGAGTTTGACGCCACGTTCCCGACAAGCCCCCGATCCGTTAACCACTCCTCACGACACGAATGCGAAGGTGGTGATTGTCCCCGAAGAAGCGGAAACGTCGAGGCCTCAGCCCCGGATACGCCATCCGTATCTTCTTTTGCCTCAGGTGTAGGTGGCGGCTGGCGACGTGGCGTTGGTGTCATAAGCGTGGATGTCGGCGACTGCGCATCCAGCACACCATGTCCTCTAGCCTTTCCCGAAGACAAATCTTTCCCTCTCAAAGGCGAAGCCGATGCTGCAGCTGCATCTTGAAGCTTCTCCAATTGCTGCTTCAGAGCTAGACACATGTCTTGTGCAGCGCCCAACTTGCCTCGTGTATGGTCGTGGTTCAACCTTTCCTGCGTTAATTCCGTCCTTAGCTTCTCTAGTTCCTCTCTGTCTCGTTCGTACGTCGCTAATTGCTCTGACAAGACACGCTGCTGCCATTCCATTTGTTCTTCTCGTTCCTTTGCAAGATCCTCAGCGTATCGGTTTTCCATTCCGTGTAACTGTATCTGAAAACGTGATTCCATCTCTACTCTTTCCGTGCGAAGTAAACTGAGTTGTGACCGCAGTTCATTCAATTCGGTGTCCTGGTCACGGAGCGTGGCGTAGCACGCCCGCAAGTCACGTTGTAAATCAATATAATCTAGTATTGCCTGACGACCATGAATACAGTGCACATCACAACACTGTAAAGGTGTACTTGCCTCCTTGTCGTTATTTTCTATATGTATTGCCTTCTGGTCGTTAGGTGCGCTACTATCTGGATATAATGCTGGAGGACACGACGCGGTCATCCGCTGGGACCGCAGTTGCGTTCGGTCCCGCCTGATTTCTATTGGCTTAGTAGACACCTCACTTGAGGAAATGTTCCGCTTTCCTTTCTTTCCTACAGTGCCCGCGCCTGGAACTGTATCTACCCTCAAAGAACCTTTTAAGGAATTAGACGACGATAGAGCCCCTATAGCTGAGGCATTTCGGCCCTCATACACATCCTGATTGACGCCTTCTCCACGGCTCTGTTTGGCGTGAACGGAGTCGCGCCGTTTGTAACGATCCATCAATGGAGTGATCATCAGGGTATTTATCCGATGAAGCTTTATGTGGGGTGTCCCCCAAGAAGAAGTCCTCCCATCCCCCCTGCCTGAATCACCACCGTGGCCAGGTGGGGATGCATTTTTCAAACTCGCCTCCTCTGTGTGCGGCGGTGCAGGCAACGCATCGCGCTTAAATAGTGTGGTGGGGTAGTAGTTGTAGCCACCAAAGGGAGAATGATACGGCGCTGTGGAGTTCGGTTCTTCACCGTTTACAACGTCGCCACTAGTTTTATTTCCTACAGAGTTTTTCCGCATGGATCGCCTTCTCAAAGCTTTTTTTGCTTGCAAAAAAAAAACGTCAAAAACAGAGAAGCCTCCCAATACCATAAATGGCTTCATTCCCATAGGCATGAAAACACCAAATACATGTCAAATAGTACTCGGACTTGCGCCTAGGAACTTCGTCTTTTTCTTTTTTCTTTTTGCTTGTTTTGCTTTACTTCCCGCCTTTCTTATTTTCTTGTTTTTCTTTTTTTTAAAAAAAAAAACATCACCCAAAAATAGTAATAATAACACCCAAAACATATATATATATATATATTATCTCTTTGTTCCTCATTCGGGCACCTTAATTCTCTTCACAGATGAGATCGTTCATTAAACAACCCAATAAGACCATTTGTTGAGGAATCGTGATTTGTCACAGTTTTGCCGGGCTTAAGTTGTGGAAGAATAGATTTTGCAAGCACCTTCCCCAGTTCCACGCCCCACTGATCATAGCTGTTAATCCCCCAGATAGCCCCTTGGACAAGAACTTTGTGCTCATACATGGCAATGATGGCGCCCAATGCCCGTGGGGTAAGAGCCTTGACCAGCAAAGAGTTACTTGGTCGGCCTCCAGTAAAAGTTTTGTGTGGTATTAGCGAACAAATCTCACGTTCAGATTTTCCTCCAGCAGCCTTCAGTTCTCGTTGAACTTCGTCAGGAGTCTTACCAAGCATCAGCGCCTCTGTCTGGGCAAAAAAGTTGCTCATCAAAATTCGGTGATGATCTCCAATACGGTTTTGAGTTTGGATTGCGCCAATAAAATCGCACGGAATCAACTTTGTCCCTTGATGAATAAGTTGATAGAAAGCATGTTGGCCGTTCGTACCGGCCTCCCCAAAGATAATAGGTCCAGTGTGAGTTGTTACCATGTGTCCATTCTTGGTAGCACCTTTTCCATTGCTTTCCATGTCAAGTTGTTGCAGATATGCTGGTAACCTCCATAGGTACTGATCGTATGGTAAGATAGCGTGGGTTTCGGTGCCAAAAAAGTTGTTGTACCAAATACCAACCAAAGCCAGTATAATGGGCACATTGTTTTCAGTGGGTGCATTAATAAAGTGTTCATCCATGATGTGTGCACCCGTTAATAACTCTACAAAGTTATCGTATCCAACCGAAATCATAAGAGATAAACCGATGGCAGACCACAATGAGTATCGACCACCAACCCAGTCCCAAAATTGGAACATATTTGATTCATCAATACCAAACTCTTTGACTTTTTCCGCATTTGTTGAAAGTGCCACAAAGTGCTTTGCGACAGCACCAACTTCTGAAATGCCTCGAGACCTTAGAAATTTCAAAAACTCATTCCGTGCCGATAAAGCATTTGTAATGGTTTCTTGTGTAGTAAAGGTCTTACTGGCAATGATAAAAAGGGTGGTTTCTAAGTCCACTAACTTCAACACCTCAGATAGGTGTGTTCCATCAATATTTGAGACAAAATGCATAGATATGTTCCGATCTGAAAAGGGCTTCAACGCTTCACATGCCATCATAGGGCCCAGATCACTGCCTCCAATCCCAATGTTCACAACATGTCGAATAGTTTTTCCTGACTGGCCTTTCCAATCACCGTTTCTAACCTTTTCCGACATTTTCCTCATTTGTTCAAGAACTTGGTTTACCAGAGGCATAACGTCGTGGCCGTGCACAAAAATAGGACGATTGCTGCGATTTCGCAAAGCAATATGCAGCACTGAACGATCTTCCGTTGTGTTGACTTTCTCGCCATTAAACAGTGCCCGCATAAATGCGCGAACACCTCTCTCTTCAACCAACTTAAACAAGGCGTCTTTTATTTCATCATTTATGTGCGTCTTCGAGTAATCCAGAAAAAGAAAGTTTTTGTCATCACTTTTCAAATCCACCTTTAATGAGTACTGCTTAAACCTATCTTTACTTTCCTCAAACTGATGTAATATACTTTCATCCCCGTGACGTTCATATAATTCCTGAAGACGACGCCAAGAAGGGCTTGATACCAGGCTTTTGTCATCAACAACACCAAGTGGCCTCATCCTTCGTGCCACTTCATGTGGCAAATTAAAAGCGGCCACAGCCATGCTGGTATTTGCGGTTGCGGCATGACCTTCTTGCACATGGGCGGTCAACTCCTCAAGATACTTATCGTTCATTTCCTTCTCTTTGATTCTTTTTGTCCTGGTCTCTGGATTATTGTATTTGTATAAGTTTTTTTGCATCTTTAAAAAATAGTTATTATAGGTTATTATTCCAGATTATTTTTCAGGTTTTTTTTTTGGTAAAATGGGGCAAACAGAGAATAACGAGAAAGAGCAATCTCTTTTCTGAGAAATCACTTCACGGGGAAGCGGAGTGGCGTGCGGGGACACTTACAGAAGGAAAAAAAAAACAGAAACACCTCTGCAAATATGATTGCATTGGTATACAAAAAAAAGGGGGAAATAGGCTAATGGTCTCTCAAAAGGGGCATTGCTGCTATCGTTTTTCCTTGCTTTTCGATTTTCTCAAAATGTATTAACGTATACCAAGAGCTCTGGTAATTTTTCCCAAAACAAAGTCCTTCTCGGCATCGTAGACGCCCCCTTTACTTGGAATCTCAAGAATGCACGGAATAGGTTCTTTGTGCTCTTCAATCATGTGGCGAATATCATTTGCTATGTGCTGGCATATCACAATAATACCAATTAAGTCATTGTTACACATATTGGTAAACGCCGCCTCTATATCTGCCAGAGGTGTGTTCGGATTAACAACTATGTAGTTGGGTTGAATAACTTCTTTCTTCTCGCCTTTCCCCTCATTCACAGTCGCTGAATTATCCCCAGTTCCCGCCAAGAGAAAACCGGTGATGGTGTCCTCATCTCCAATAACGCCAACGATAAGCTCATCGCCGTTCTTGTAACGAGCCGCAACCATTTCTAGTGTGTAAGACTTCTACCTAGTGTCAAAGATAGGTGAGAAAAAGAAAAAAAGTAAGAGATAAGCGAATGACTTTTCTTCTGGAATAATAAACACAAAACCATAGAGGTAAGTCAGTAACAAGAAGAGTAAGACGCACAAGAGAATACCCCCAAACAAAAAATAATCATCATCATCATATTTCCTTCTTGTATTTATTCACCACGAAAAGCAGGTAATTTTGAATCCCAGTCAACGTATTTGGGTTCTTTCTGTTGTCGCTCACCAAAATCGTCCCGCAGCAATTCGAGTGAAAGTCGAACCTTATCGCCCACCTCCACTCTCTCATCAAGAGTGTCCTGAAATGCAACTGTTTTTGCATCATACTTCAAGGGAGTGGCAGCCAAGAGATGGTTGAGAAGCAAATCTTCATCGACAAGAAATATCGCCTCCTCTCGCGTATGCAATCCTTGGCGTCTGGTCATAAACTCCGCTCTCGGCTCCTCAACCATGGAAAAAAAGCCGTTCAGTCGTTCTTCAGCTCTTCCATCCTTGTTAAAGGAAAGAAAGGTCCGACGCATCATATACTGGAAAAAAAAAGGAATTAAAAAAATCCGGAGATATAAGCATATACCAAGATAACTCACTGACATATACATATATATATATATATATAACCAAAAAAGCTAAATATTCTTCTTCAGTGTTGCTCTTGTATTCGTTATTTGTTTGCTTTTTTTTGTCTTTTGAAGTCATGCAATGTCCTCAGACAACATAGGGACTGTACTCCTCATATTTGAGGCAAAGTCACTCTCATATACTTAGTGGTGATGACTAGCGGTCGTAACGATCGGGCAGACGGAGCCACTGCACAGTTTGCTGAGAAGAAGTCACCTGAGTTTTCCTAAAACGAGCCACTGGACATTCCACCATCACCTGCTGTCCCAACTGTTCGATTTGCTTCGGTGTTGCATTAGGGGCATCCACAAAAACATTTATGCCTCCTTGGGGTGTATGTTCAAACCGAACTTCCCGAATATTAATTCCCTGGCGTCGCGCAATGTCACGTGCATGAGCCTCGCTACACCATTCCAAGGCCTTGTCAAACAGCCCCCCAAAGGGGCCGCCTCCGTTTCCTCCTTCGGGACCACGTCCACCTCCAAATGAACTGGACCTCTGAGAACCCGACAAAAAACCGTTAAAAAAAGTTGTCGGCAACTTTGTTGAAAAGGATCCAAAATTAGATCCTTCATTTAGAAGGGAAGCGCCCTCTGTGCTTTTTGGATTGCATCCTGTACTACAACATTGTGTCTTACTGCCAAATAGGGAAGAAAGCCCCTTCGAAACATCAAATCCCTTAAAATAGCGAGCAGTTGTGCATTGCAACATATGTTCTTGCTAAATATTGTCCTGTTTTGCACTAACTGTAGTATAATAAAAACATAAATATATATACACCTATCATCCCAAAAGCAACAAGCAAAAATTATAGCAGCCCTGTTTTCAGATAATTGTTCATTATTATTAATATTTTTTTTTTTGTATAAGGCGTAACCAATGGCAAAACCGCCCGCTAATCCGAGAAGCGGCCCATTGGCAAAGACATATATACATATATATATATATAAACACACAACGACATCACGGTTCAATAGATACGGAGGAGGATCCTCCCAACTTTCTTGGGGCAAACCCACTCCCCAAAACACCCAATACCCAAACAAAACCAAAAAATAACTGCCCCGTACAGACTCTATTCCGCCGCGCTCACAACAAAAGCACGCCCCAACATACGAGACTCCACCACAGCCGACAGAAACCACAACAACAAAAAAAGCATCTCGAATATTCGAGCAGATTATTTGTCGTCTCCTCCACTTTTTCGCCATATGCCACCGCTCGCAAACCCCATGCGGCGCGCGACGCCACAGTCAGCTGCTGCCTGGGGGGACGTGGAACGGAACCGCCCCGCGCGGTGCTCCAACGCAATGCCCCTCGACAAAAGCAAAACCTGCAACTTTGATGGCGTGGGGGGAGCTCCTCTGCACCGCATTTTCTACAGTCTGGGAAGTGTAAATGGAACCCCTGGGTCAACAGCTTCAAGCATACAATTGCAAAACGCCGGCATCCGGCGCTAAGGCCCCCACAAAGGTGCGTAGAATTTCCCCCCTTAAGCACTGCCCTCGCGGCGTGCACGAAAATGGCCCCGAGTTCTGGGGCCGCGCACCCACGGAGGCAGAGCGCATTTTGCCACCGAGAGCAAGGCCCGCTACCACCTAAACTCGCGATCGCCCGACCGCAAAGCAGAAACGCAACGGACAAGGAATCAGTTCATCCTTTTTTTCTGGGAGCCATTGCGCACTACACATTTCAGGCGCAACTGCGAGTCAACCACAGGCGAAGCTTTGGCCTGGAAATACACATCTGGACGTAAGGCGGCATCCCAACCACACCCCGCATCTGCGCTGACGGGCGGCGGGCAACGCACTTTTAGGAGAGCACAGCGAGCAGCGAATGCTCTCAATTGCAGATTTCCCCCTCCCTTTACCCATCTCGCAAACCAACAAGGGTTTTCTGCACGACGAGGCCGGCAGCAAGAGTCTCTGGGAGTTGCCCCGCACGCCCCACCCAGGCCGCAAAGCAACGAAGAGCCAACCGCCGACTCCACGATGGATCGCCCCCATCTTCTCGAGACACTCTCTTTGGCATGCCAAAACCACTGCTTGCCGCGTTGGGGGTCAAACTGTAGGGCAAAACCCCTGCACCAGACGGCGCGCGCGTTGGGGCGCTAGGGCACCTCTTGGCGAAGAGCATCTGGTTGCCCATCCTCTAGATCCAACACGGTTTGGCGGCCGGTGTGATTTTGGTCGAGCGGAGGCGTGCCGCTATTGTCAAACTCTTGAAACCTGTTAAGTCGCCCAAGCAGTTAGAGCCGCACCGACCCACCAGCCCCACCCCCATTGTCAGCGAGGTTGCTGAGAACATGATACTGACTGAAGAGGCTGCTTTGGGTATGGATGCCGCGCCTCCACCAGCATGCGAGCCACAGTGTACGCACCGCGGCGGTGTAGCTGCCCCACATGGCTCACAAAGCGGGGCGCAACGGAGACGGTTAATTCCCCGCGCGCCGCTGCAAGACCTGCGGTGTTACCTCGCACTCCGAAGCTCCTTAGCATGGGCCTCGATCCTCCACTGCTGCTTAATGCGGCGGTCCCCAAGCAGTGTGCCGCCGCCTTGCGGATAATTCCCCTGCTACGCCCCCGGATCGCATAAAGCAGCTGGCCTGCCTCTTTGTGAGCTACGGGCGTTTGCCCTTTGGTACTGTGCCTCCAAACTTCTCTAAAGCAATGGACTCATATGAGCTGCGCCAACGGACTCGGTAAAAAACAATAGCAACAACGACGTGCGCCGTCAGCAAAGCTCCAAGCACGACTGACCGGGAGCCGCCCTCCTGGTGGCTAATATACCTCGACTCCGCGTTTTCCGCCTACGCGTTGGCCTCTCAATCTTTGAAAACATCTGGGCGTGTAAGATGGACTAGGTGAGTAAGTTCCCCGTCTGAGCCGCCGCTACGCGCCGGTTTCTGCGTTTCTCCACTCTTTCGGGATGAGTTCCACGCCTTTGTTGATAAGAAAACAAGGAGGTTTGGCATCACCGATAAAAACTCCACACGAAGAGCGGCCTTTTCACAGCTCTATTTCTCCCTTTTCTGTGGCGCCCGCCATTTGGGTGTCTATTAGCGCGCAACTCCCAATGGATTGCTCGATCGCCGGCAAAAAGGAGCTTAAAATGAAGAAGCTCAGAGCCAACAAAGCGGATTTGGCACAACACACACACCGCGCGTGGACACTCGCAACAGATGGTGGTGTCGACGCTTCCCCGCCAGCTGGGGCAAGAATACCGATTTCTTCTCTACACCGCCCTGGGGTTATAGAGAATGTCAGCATTCACCGCGGCATACGCTCGCACAACTACAGGACGGAATCTTGTACGCTGCTGCTTCTGGCCCTCAACAAACTGATCGTTCTCTGCACCCAGCACGATAACAAAACACCATGCGTGGTTACATATGGTCAGTCCCTTCTGGCTGCCCGCAACAAAGGCCCACCCAGTCAAACCGACAGTACGAAAGACCAGATCTGGCAGTGCCTCTCGACACTGAGGTGTGCTGGCCGGTCAGTGCATCTGCAGTTTTGTTACAGACACCGTGGAATACCTGCAAATGGCACTGCCAATGAATGTGCAACGCCGAACGCAACAACTGCTCTGCACACAGAAAAGCGTATAGCAACTCCGCGGCATACAGATCTACTGGCATGCCTCACCGCAAAACCCGCCAAAGCGTGGCGCGCAACCACGCCTCAAGACACACACCGCCGTATGCTATGCTTTGCAGCGTCCTTTGGCTTCAGTGGCGATGGTCTAATTGCGCAGGAAGACCTTGTTTGAACTGAACTGGCGCACCTGGCACAAGCACGCCGTGGGGAGTCTGAGCTCTGGAATCGCTCATTATGAACAGTGAGAAGTTATTTTACTCACTTTCGTTCTTGAGCTCTTTAGCCAGAACAAGCTGCAATCGTGCGCTCCAGCCCCGACCCACGTGCACTATGGACGGGCGCTGCCTATCCGACGCGGCCTGCGACTGCCGCATCTCCCGCAGGAAAACGGCCGTCCACAAGTTGTCAAAAGGAGAAATGCCCGTACTGTGATGCCGTGTGGGTGGGTTGCAAAAACCTCACCGTGCATTGTCGTCGGCCTCTTTGCCCGTAATGCCATCCGCCCCTTTCTGGGCTGAAATGCGGCTTCTGTGATGTGGTCTTCCGTTCACACACAAACGCCGCACAACACAGAACGCACTGAGTACACACTCTGGGCGGTAAGGGAAATCGAAACAGTAGAGCAAGGCGACTGGTGTTGCAATCGCAGGGTCGGCCGGCCCTTGCAACGGGGTGGGTGGCCCGCAGCGAACTTTGTCTCGTTTGCTTATTGGTTGCCCGGGCCCCTTGGCCGCGCAACAATGCCTTTGCATTGGTGATGGTCTCCGCGTTGAAAAGCTTTTTCGATGGTAGTCGTTGCATGGCGGGAGCCTTTCGTCGCTGGGCGGCCGCCTCCTCGGCAGTCAAACGGCATTGTGTAGCTAGGCATTTTAAAATTAGTAGGGGAGGGCGGAGGCATGCTGCAGCCTTGTTGCGCGGGACTGGCAGTCCTCTGTTGAGCTCTGTCGACGCCTGCGGGTTTCCCACTTCAGCACCTTGAGCGATAGACCCCCACACTTGGGAGGCGCTCATTTTTTTATTGCCATTTTCCCCTAAATCGCAGGGGCGCTTTTAAATAGAGAAACACCGTTTTATTGTTCTAAATTGATTGTTGCAGTGGAAACAGAATCTCTTTTGTTTAACTTTGCGCGCGTG